TAGGTTCCTCACAAGTGTTGTTGCTCACTTTAGAGGTCTGATTGCGGTTTGGCTGTTAGGTGATCTCTGGGTAGGTTCAGTACCAGGTTTAAAGGATGTCTAAGGGCCACAGTGTTGGGGGTCCTACTAGTATCTATCAGACCAACAGGTCTAGTCTTTTTTTTTTTTTATGATTTTGAATTTTGTTCACATTTTTCCTCCTATTCTATCCAGAACCTATTCTAGCTTTTAAGACTCCAGCAACTTTTCTTGATACTTTTCATTGTGCTTGATGTGGAAAAGTGTTGATAGGAAATACACATATGTCCCATCTCTCTCCTTGCTCCTATGGAAATTAAAACAAAACAAAACAAAACAAAAAACCCAGACCAAATTTGTCCTCCTTCTGTTAAGTTCTCCATTAAAATCTCTGGGTCTGAATTTGCTCCTAACATCTCCCTTTAAAATCAGAGAGATAGACTAGATGATTATTTGAAGTTATCTTATTCATTAGTACTTGTTGTTGTTGTTGTTATCTGCTGTGGAATCAATTCTGACTCATAGTAACTCTGTACAGGGTTTCTGAGTCTGAGTTTTGAACTCCTGACCTTGTGGTTCACAGCCCAATTAGTAACCACTACGCTACCAGAGCTCCTTATGCATTAGTACTTATGATTACTGATTTTAAGATTTTGATATGTTTTATGTTCATCAACATCATTGTTACATTTTTTCTAGTTGGAGGAAATAAAGATGAGATCAATTTAACTCAAGGAAAGTAGGGTTTATTGTAGCCATACAAAGAGGGCTCATAAAAGCACTGAACATGTCTAGACATGTTTACAGCTCATAAAAGCATTGACATGTCACATAAGGTCGAAATTGGAAATCTTCAGGAACTAGATGATTCTTTTTCTATCAATTCCTGATTTATCTCTCGTAGCTAATTTTTGCATTTTTCTTCATTTTCTTTGATCCTCTCTTAACTGGCTTTCGGAATACTGGTATGGCACTGAAAGATAATGCCATGGACCACAAGGACGGTTTGAATTGCAAGGTTTGCAGTTCAAACCCACTAGCTGCTCGTCGGAAACCCTAGGCAGGGTCACTATGAGTTGGAACTGACTGGACGGCACTTAACAATAACAACAGCAACAACAACAAAACTGGCTTTCTCTTTATTCTTACTTTTCTTTTCCATAATATCATCCTAGCAGTGTAGGCCTAATTCTGCATCTTGATTCAACATCCCTTGTCTCATATTCTTCTTAGTCCAATATCAAGTTCCTGAGAGAGTATTCTTATTAGTCCATCTCATCTTATTTCACCATAGGCATGAATTTATTACTAGCCTGTGGATCAGTTATCTCATTCTTTGTTCTCAAAGCCCTGGCCAATGTGGGAAGAGGATAGGATCTTAAAGCATAGAACGTGGTTGTGCTCTATTAGTAGGGGTTAGAAGCAGGGCAGTTTCCATTATGGAAGGGACCAAAGAAGGGAAAGATGTTCAGCTCTACCGCAGTAAGTCAAAGGTAGCCTTAGCTTTAACACATTTGAGTTCAACTAAAATGACATCAATACTTTACAGAGAAGAGTGGTTTTGCATGGAATCTCTTAATGAAAAACATAATACAAATGTGTACAAGAACCTTAATTCTTTCTGAAAACCACAATAAAGTCTTCAGGATAATAAAATTCTTAAAGACAGTTTGAAAGGGAAAAATTACTTATATGATCATTTTGAATGGATACAGTATTAAAAGATATTGAGGGAATGTTTGGTTTCTGCTACTAGAGTTAGCCTGAGATGTATGCTGATTACAGAGGCAGGCAACAAATGAGCGTTCCCATTTTTCTAGTTCACTGTTGTCTCCTTATAATTCATTCTGCTGAAATACCTCAATAAAAGTACCTAAAACATAATGACTGTTTTAAGACCCTAGCAGCAAATAATTAATGAGTATTTTAGTCAAATAATTTCTCATAGTAAAATTATAAACCATCTATGTCAACATTCCCCAGTGCAAAATTAGAAACATAGGTTAAACTTTTTAATACACTTATTTATCCAATAAATAATGCTAAACGGTTTTGGAAATTTTTTGTTGATGAAGAAAATGATATTTTCATCTAAAGCATGGTTTCTCAACTTTGATATTTTGACATTTTGAGTCAGATAATTCTTCTTTTGGAGCTGTGCTGTGCGTTGTGAGATGTTACATACCATTTCTGGCCTCTATCCACAAGATGCTAGTAGCACACACTTCTCCCCATTTGTGAGAACCCATGTCTGTCTCCAGACATTGTCAAATGTCCCATAGGAGACAAAATCACCAGAGTTTGATATCTTGGACATTGTTGTTGTTATATGCCGTGGAGTCAGTTCTGACTCATAGTGACCCTGTACAGGGTTTCCAGGGCTGTAGATCTTTACAGGAGTAGAAAGCCTCGTCTTTATGCTGCGGAACAGCTGGTAGTTTCGAACTGCTGACCTTGCAGTTAGTGAGCTGAAATTGATTGATATTGGCCATTTTGAATCTGATAGCCACATGGTTTACTATGCCGGGAGTGATAAATTGAAGAGGAATGGTGTTGCATTCATTGTCAAAAAGAACATATCCAAATCAGTCATGTGCCTACAGGGAAGACCAGTTAGTACCACTATTATTCAAATTTATGCACCAAGCACTAAAGCCAATGAGGATGAAATACAAGAATTCTACCAACTTCTTCAATCTGACATTGATCACACATGCAATCAAGACATATTGATCATTAACGGTGATTGGATTGCAAAGGTTGGGAGCAAAGAGGAAGGGTCAGTAGTTGGAAAATATGGCCTTGGTGATAGAAATGATGCTGGAGTTCGCATGATAGAATTCTGCAAAACCAATGATTTGTTCATTTCAAATACCTTCTTTAGACAGCACAAGAGAGGACTATACATATGGACCTTACCAGATGGAATACATAGAAACCAAATTGACTACATCTGTGAAAAGAGACGATGGAAAAGCTCCATATCATCAGTCAAAGCAAGGCCAGGGGCAGATTGAGGAATAGACCATCAATTGCTCATATGCAAATTCAGACTGTAGCTGAAGAAAATGTAAGCAAGCCCACGAGAGCCAAAATATGACCTTGAATATATCCCACCTGAATTTAGAGATCATCTGAAGAATAGATTTTATACATTAAATATATATCTGTTGTGCATAGGGTCGCTATCAGTCGGTACTGACTCGAATGCACCTAACAACAACAACTGTTCATTTATTTTAATGGGCAATAATTATTTTTGTTGTTAAGTGCAGTCCAATTGAGTCCATCTCATAGCAACCTAATATACAACAAAATCAAACACTGATGGGTCCTGGGCCATCCTCACAATCATTGTTATGCTTGAGCCCATTGTTACTTCCACTGTGCCAATCCATCTTATTGGAGGTCGTTCTCTTTTTCACTGACCCTACATGTTATCAAGCATGATATCCTTCTCCAGTGACTGGTCCCACCTGACGATATATCCGAAATATGAGAGATGAAGTCTGGCCATCCTGGCTTCCAAGGAGCATTCTGGCTGTACTTCTTCCAACACAGATTTGTTTGTTCTTCTGGCAGTCCATGGAACTTTTAATATTCTTCTCCAATGGGCAGTAATACTTGGTATCAATAGAGGCCTTTCTTTAAAAGCAAATAACAATGAAAGCTCTGAGGTTATCATACTATCCCTCTCTGAAAGCTTGATTCATGTATTAAGTTTAAATTCTCCTTTTCTCTCACTGTCAGGGAATGTCTGGGCAAAACGAAAAGTATAGATTGATATCCTAAGTGTAGCCTTTTATGGGTGAAGAAAAAAATTCTCAGATCAAACCTAACTCTCAATTCAAACCAAATGCTTAAAAGAAGTAGAATTGAGGTCCAAATGGAATTCCACCAATGATTTAAGTTCTCAGCCAAAATAAATGTTTCCATCTGCATGTGCATTATAAACTCAGGGCTAATAGGCAAGTTGTAATTCTCTAGCACGATCCAGATAATTGATAGGCTTTGATAATAAAAGGAAACACTATTCATTTAAAAGGCTTTTGCAATATGAGAAACACTCCTTCCTCTTGAGTGCATTCATTGTTATCTAGTAAATATCCCTCCAACCAAATAGTGCTATAAATACAGTATTCAGAGATAATCTTTGTGAACATGGATTTCTGAGTAATTTGTAACCATGAAATCATTTCTTTATCTTCAAACCTTAAAATTCAATTAAATTTATTTACACCTTATCACGGTGGAAATGTTCATGCAAAATTTCAAATATTGCTCATCGCTGTGCGCTAATGCTTCAGACTGCAAAGTCGTTTGAACTGAAATGTCAGTGGTTCAAGATCACCAGCTGCTCCTTGGAAACCATATACAGGGTGGCTATGAGTTGGAAGTGATTCAATGGCACTTAACAACAACAACTTTTAACCTATTGATTGCCCTGTCGTTGTTATGAGCCAGTCAGTTCAGACTTATAGTGACCCTTTTGGTGTGGTGCTGTGGATTAGCACTGGGCTGTGAACCATGAGGTTGGCAGTTCAAACCCACCAGCTGCTCCTCAGAAACCCTATATGGGATCGCTGTGAGTTGGATCTGACTCGACAGCACGTAACAACACCAATAATGTTTCCAAGGAGTGGCTGTTGAGTTTGAATCACAAACCATGTGATTCAAACCAACCTTTAAGTCCAGTGCTTTATTGAATATGTTGTTGTTACATGCAGTTGAGTCAGTTTCGATTGACATGGTCAGGAACCAAGTCATTTTGGAAAGAAACCCTGTAGGGTTTCTGAGGAGCGGCTGGTGAGAGATCTCCCACACTTACCCTAAATTTCAATGCATTAAAATGTAATTTCTTTGGGAACAGGAGCACTATAGGTCCCTGGAAACCTACAATTCTACATGCTCTCTAGCAAAATGCTTTAGATGATGATGGCAATCAAATACATTCTTGGATTTTTTTTTTTTTTATTTCACAGGATTATACACTCACCATGTATTTCCAGCAGTCTTGGAAAGACAAAAGACTTTCTTATTCTGGAATTCCACTAAACCTCACGCTAGACAACAGGGTAGCTGACCAACTCTGGGTACCAGACACCTACTTTCTGAATGACAAGAAATCATTTGTGCATGGGGTTACGGTGAAAAATCGCATGATCCGACTGCATCCTGATGGAACAGTTCTCTATGGACTCCGGTAAATGGCTCTATGTTTACTGTTGTTTTATTTTTACTTTTAGAAGGCAATGAGGTGAGAGAAGCAAGTCAGAGATTATATAGACACTCATGTTTATAAGAAAGTTATACTAAAGACCTTAAAATGGTGTTTTAGAACCATTTGAATTCAGTCTAGGCAACTGGTCCATCAAAGGTAAGTGAATTATTTGCCCTGAACTTCAGATAATAAATGTAATAATAAGGACATGTCTTTCAGCCAGATTTCATGTCTAGTTTGTTCTAGATGTTTATTCTTTCTTAGTCAGTTGCTTGATTATCACAGAGCAATCCTGACTGAACAGAAAGATGCTCTAGGTATTAGGTGTAGTTAGTTAATTATACAGAGGATTGGGAAGCAATTTGATAAAGAAGTAGGAAAATATTTTGTCATGACTTTGACAAGATCCATAGTGGGTTCACTTATTATTTTTGTCCTTTTATATTTAGTCTATAATCCATATTTTAATTAATGTTTGTGTTTGTGTGAGGTAGAGGTTGAGATTCATTTAACTCCCATGTTGTTGTTGTTGTTAGGTGCCATCAAGTCGGTACCCACTCATAGCGACCCTACGCAAAACCGAACAAAACACTGCCCACTCCTGAGCCAACCTCACAATTGTTGCCACGCTAGAGCCCATTGATGCTGCCATATTGCAAATCCATCTCTCTGGGTGTCTTCCTCCTCTTCTCTGACTCTCCACCTTACCAAACATGATATCCTTCCCATATTGACATCCAACTATTCTAGTCCCATTTTTTTAAAAAGACTTTCCTTTTTGGATTGTTTTGATGCCTTTGATAATACACCTATTCCTCACTTATTGACTACTTCATTACCTAACATGTCACATTTACTACAATAGTAAAAAGTCTGTTGTCCAACTATTTTGTGCAATAACAACATGTATCTGGCAGTAACTAATTCCAAGCTGTGAAGAGAGAGTAATTCAGGTTGAGATAGTGTCAATTGGACTGGGCTATGATTCTCAATGATTGGCAGTTGTTTATTGATATAATTATTCTCTGTTTTGTGATCTGATGTGATCATCCTCCATTTTCATATAATGCTGCCTTTCCAAAATGACTTGGTTCCTGACCATGTCGATAAGTAAAGAGTGGGGGCATGTTTCTGAGTTCTTTCCTGTTCCATCAGTGTGTTTGTTGATTCTTAGGTAGTACCCAAGTGTCTACTTAGTATAGCTGTATAGTAAGTCCTAAAGTCAAATAATATAAGTCTTCCAACTTTGTTTTAATATTTCATGATTGGTTTGGCTATTCTAGGTCTTTTTTTTATCTTCCTATAACTTTTAGGATCTTCCTGTCTATTCATACCAAGAAATTCTACAGGGATTGTAATTGAGATCATATTGAATGCATATATCATTGTGAGAGAAAAATGGTATCTTAAGAATACCGAGACTTATATTGTTGACATCTCAAATGTTTTGCTACATATATGTTTACCACAATTAAAAAATTATATTGAGTCTTCAAATTCATGAACATGATAGATATCTTTAGCTATTTAATTTTAATTTGTCACATCAGTTATTTTACCATACTGCTTTTATTTTTATTTTTAAGAATCAAGTATAAAGGTAAAGGTGAATTATTAGCCCCAACCGATATAGTTAAGGTCTTAATGAAGACATTGTGCCATGTTTTAAAACAAACCTCAAGTTCTACCAAAGAAGTGTCTGAGCTGTGGCATGTTATTGTAGGCAATATAAAGTTGTGGTTGTTTAACCTTTAGAGTCATGTTTTAGGTTCCCTTAGAAAATATGATGAAAATTCTTATCCCAAAACTCAAATACACCCCAAATTTTCCTACAATTGCAGGGTGGTTTTAAACACTCCAAAGTCATTGAATGGACCATATATGCCAAGCTAAGTTCTCCAATACAGAAATAATAAGCAAGTGAAAACTGTAGCTGTATTTAAACTTCTGTTTTTATTAAGTGATAGTTGAACTTAATTTTCACAGTTACATGTCGTCAATTAAACTTCGCAAAATGATCTTAGGAATTTGTTTGCACTTTGATTACTCCACAAGTTATCACACCAGTTCAAAATCACTGAATTAAAATCTCTCAAAAGAATGGTGCAATAAACTAACAAATTCCTTGAGTCTATCAGTAGCCACTACAGACAAAATCTACTAATTTGATATCCATAGTGGTCATTAGTGATGTTGCATACATTGGAAATTAGGTTATAATTTTTGTTACCCATGTAACACTTGTATTGGATATCATGAAGGTGTAAAGGGATGGATTGCCTATTTAAAGGATTCTCAAAGAATTGTTTTATGAAAAGTCAGTAAGCTACTCAATATATAAGTGTACTGAGTGGTCAAGAAGGTATTTTTAAAAAGCAACTACACTTTCTGCAAACAAGTATACAGGTCTCATTCTTAACTTAAACCTTTTCATGCTGGAATTTCCCACCATATTGGTAGTCTCTACCACTGGTAATTATAAGAATATTTGAGAGCTATGAAATTCAACACATCTAATATTACAACTGGGAAAACTAATGCCCAGTTGTAAAAAAAACGTAGCTAAAGAACACAATAAGATAATAGTAGAGATAATAGTAGATGTGAATAGAAAATCTAAGTTGGTTGATTCTCACACCTGTTTTTTTCCGTTTTCACAACCTTTCTTTTCTTTTCTTTTTTTTAAGTTCAAGTTGTCACAATGTTATATATTTTTTTAACTTTTTATTGTGAATTGAGTGAAGGTTTGCATACAAGATCATCAGCTTTATATTCAACAAATGATACACTTTGTTTCATCACAGTGATTGCAATCCCCTCCCTGCAACAACAGTTTTCCTACTTCCTCCCTGCGGCTCCCCATTAACATCTTATATTTCACACATGAACAAAGCAAAAATATTTTATGTATGCAGTCCAAACAAAAAACTACATATTCATTTAAATGACCAAAGGGCACATTTTGCAAGCCAGCCTTCTGCCCACAGGCACAGAGCCTTATTCAGTCCATTAGCCTAGAACTCACAGCTGTCTGTCCAAGCCACTGCCTCTGCTGTTGTCATTTTTCTAGGTAGGGATCTCTCACTCCACTCATGCTCTACCTTCTTGATGGTCCTGGGATTGTCTGTTCCTGAAATGAAAGATAATTACTGCCCCCTTTTAGTTATACATCTTTTATAATTATAGCTGTGGCAATAACAATTAATCCTGCTACAATTACTCACAATTGAATCATAAAATCCTATCTCCATCATCCCTTACCTCCTTTCATCAGCTCCATCATGAAAAAAGGGAAACTATTCAATGGGGATTCAACTTAACACCCTTCATTTTGAAACTGAGCACATTCATGAAAGATTATAAAGTAGCTGCTTTATACCCTTCCCCATTTTTTATAGCTATTGTCTAAATTTCTTGTCCCTATCCACTGAGTACACAGAGGAATCATTGCTGTTCCTTGATGTGAAGAATATTTCCATTCTGGTTGGAGTTTTGAGCAACTGCATCCAAAAGCAAAAGATACTCACAGTGATAAGTATCTTTGTATTCATCTGATCGAGTTCTGGTCAGCTAGCCAAGCTAGGTCAAATTGGTACTAGCTGCAAACCTCCCTGCCCTTCAGACCAGCTGGTCACTTCACTCTTAACCCTAACCCCAAGGGGCTAAGTCAGTGGCAATGGGATCAGGAGTTCACACATCTTCCTAAACTTCAGAATAATCAGCCCCTCCTCTCCTTTTTCTCAGCTAAAGGTAATGTCAATGGAACATGGTCAAACTCAGTCCACGTCTTTGTTGCTGCATTTTCCCCACTTCCATTCACAAATAGACCCAGGTGATCACCAGTAAGCATACTAGATTGCACATAAATATCTACTGTAGGCAGGGAAAACCAATATCCAGAAGACAGTCAAACACCTAAACACCCTCTGACACACACTCCTTTGCACCTTTGCCCATTCAACCTGCCTCATTCCATGTATCTACTTACAGAACATTGTTGTTCTGAGATTGTATATAAATCATTATTGACTTGTATCGCATTTAGCCCATGCATATTTCCCTAAGTCTTACCCAATCGTCATTGTTTATCTGCCACCTCCTCCTGTGTATTGCTCTCCCCACTGCGTATATTGCCATCTATTGTCATGTGTCTACTTTCCCACCCCTGGTAACCATCAACAAATATTTCTTTTAGTATGGATACCTTTTCTTAAGCTTTTATAGTAATAGTTTTTAATTTCACTCAACTCAATGTAATGTCCTTTGGTTGATCCATGTCATGAGGTCTTTTGAAGACTTAGAAGTTAACACCTCCTTCCACGTTGTACAGCTTATTTCTCCTATTCAAAGTCAGCACATGTTTGAGCAGGCATAAATCTTTTAGAGAGAAAAAGAAACACTTCTTTGATTATCTGTGCTCTGATCTGTTTATGGTCCCAGGTCTTCATATAAGAGAAGCACTCCAGTCCTGATATTTTCCTTTTCCTTCTCCCCTGTCTTCTTTCCAATCTTTGTTTTCACAGGTTTGTTACTCTTTTTCTTACCAACTCTTAATTCATTATTTCATGTGATTTTTCCAGTCATCAGTTGGGGGTTATTAGTTTCTTACTATTAATGATAAAATTGAGACTCAGTAAATGTATATGAATTGTTCAAGGTCAAGCTGTTTAAAATGTTGCTGTTGATCCCCCAACTTTAATCCTCTGATTTCATATGTCATACTTGCTCCTTTGCTAATAGTTTCTCTGTGAAATTTGTAACAGAAAACCAGCCTGGGAGGGAAGATGTGAAAACGAAGAGAGGGGAGGAAGAAAAAGCATGCTCATTTTAATTCCTCTGGCATTGTATTTCCTAGTCTTAAAAATGAAAATGATCATTTTCCTTTATGACAGCTTTATTTAAGAATAACCACCCTATATCACTTCCTAAGCATTCATACTACATACAAAAGCCTTATCACATAGCATCTTTCTTGGCATATA